CCACCCGGGTCCCGGGCCCTCGGTTCCGTGCCCACCCCCGGTCCCGACCCCATCCCCGTCTCCATCCCAGTCCCCAGCCCCGGCCCCGGCCCCGGGAAGCGGGTCAGCCCGCCCAAGGCGGACCTCGCCGAGTTCCCGCACTCTGCCGCTAGAGGGCGCGATGCCTTCATGGAAAAAACGTGGGCCTGTTTTTCTCTGTTCTCTTAGAACATACGCCGGGAACATGGCATAATGACTGAAACCTCAATTTCTCAAATTAAGCATAATGATTAAAGATCACAGCAAAGAGAAAATCTTTTAGTTTGCTCCTGGCATCGGCCAAATCATATCCTGAATAGCTGCAAAAGCTTGATGGATTTCTACAGGGAAGACAATAATTTGCGAGATTTCTAGTTGAGAGCGAGAAAAATGAAAACTACAGATACTGAAATAAATCTCAAGGTGAAAACCAAAACCCAAACGCCACCACCACAAACCCACTCCGTGCCGCGGAAAGCACATTGTGCACCTCCCCGGGAAGGAGGATTACTTAACGTGACACTTTCACTCTTAGAGTCACTAACATCTTTTAACATTCCTTTTACCGGCACAAAATGGAATTAAATAACTCCTTCACGCACAAAATGATGTACAGATCTGAGCCACCTTGGGGGACGTTTTTATTTAATAAACGTCTCGGCCGGGTGAGACCTTTTCATCTCTCTCGCTGGAGCATAATTTTCTCCAGGAGCTTAAGTGCACAGACCACGCTGTGCCCTTACGGACCAGGCTGCACGCAGAATGTTCAAGAAAGCTCGGGCAAAAACTGCTCCGATTAATAGGAAAACATTGCAGAGCGGGTGATTCATCTTTTGTTTGGTTCGAATAAATTGCCTTACAGAACAGCACAGCACTCTCGTTCCACAGTGACTCGCGCCCTGTCTGCCTCTGAAAATGAATGTCTCCCCGGAGAATGAGGCATTTGTAACTTCGAGCTTTGGAATTCAGTTTATCCCTTAATAAAAACATAATCTCTTTAACCAAAAGAACACTATTACTGCTGGTTTAGAAATCAATTAGGAGGCAGGAAAATTAAGAATTATTCCATCTAATTTGCCTTCTCATCTCCCCAGACAGGTGTTACTCGGCTAGTTCATATGGAAACCTCCAATTCCTGCTGTTAGCAGTCACTACAAATTCCTGAAGCTGATAAAGTTATTCTCTCCTCTGGTCTTCATGAAGCAACTATTTTTTAAAATTGTATACATCAATAAAAACATATAATCCTTCAAAAGGTCCCCAAACACAGTGTTTTATTACACTCCAGATTATACATTTGTCACCGGCAAAACCGTGCATTCCCTGGCGTCTGGTTCTCCATTACCCAGTGTGGCTGTGAATTAGCTTTGCTGTTAACAGACGTCAAATGCATCACGACTGCTTCGAACCTTCTCCCCTGGCCAGTGTATGTGCCTGTGTGTTTCTATATGCCCTCTACTCTGCCTTCTTTCATAATTTCCTGCCTGAAAAAAAAAACAAAAAACAAACAGGCACGTGTGTTGGGAGGATGATGCCACGGCTGTTTCCCAGGGAGCCGGCCCCCTCGGGCTCGGTGCCCCTGCACCATGAGAGGAAAATCTCTCCCCCATCCCCCGAGCAGCATGCGCCAGATTCCGCCAAGGGCAGCTCTTGTATGCGAGTAATTAGTTTCTCGAGGTCATTTTTAAACTCTTATTTTTTTATGCTCATCGTACCTCTGGGGAGGGGAAAAGGGGAAGCAGCCACATCTTGAAAGAAAAAGCCCTTCGTGCAGAACTGAGATTGGATTTCAGCGGGGCTCTTCCCTTAGGTGACCCCGGGCAAGTCACGCACAGCCCAGGAGCCTGGTTCCTTCTTTCTCCCGGAGCATGCTGGGCCATCTGTCTACCATCCTCCAGAGAATTTGAGCTCTAAGGGACAGGAAGATTAGGAGGAAAGATACAAAAATATTTACCCATCCCTGAAAGAATACCCACTTTAAGATTTCGGATGGTATGTTTTCCCAGAAGAAATCCAGACTTTTTTTTCCCCACTGATACTTTACGTATCTAGAGTTTTAAAAATTTGTTTGGAAGAGAAGAGGTTTGTCTTTTTTGTTTTGTTTTGTTTTTAATCCTTCTTCCTACCTTTAGAAAATCACACAGGCGTTTAAGGACTCCTATTTATACTTCGTCCAGGTCCTTTAAAAAGCCATTGAAGACGGGCACCAGGTCAGCTGCTGTTAACTGGTGCCCAAGGATCACGGCCAGCTCACTAATAGAGAAGACTAGGGTCCAACGTACCTTCCACTGCGCACAGCAGACACACAAACTGAAAAAGGCAAGCATAGTTCAATGTTACCGAGAGCATGAGTGGCATTTCTGGAGCAACACTGATGTTGCCAGGTGTTGGCCACTTGCAGCTTTATTTCACCAGAAGCCAGTAAACATGCCAATTGCGGCCACATAAAACACGGGTCAATGAGCCTTCCTGCAGTTCCCCTTTCTTCCTAACGAGAGGGCCCATCCTATCCTGGGCAGGCCTCTGAAAAGGCTCCTTTTACCTGCACGTGGGAAGCCAGGGTTTTGAACGTCTCTCTCAGACAGTGCCAATTCTGCCTGCCCAGGGCCAGCGCCATGCCCGGGAGGCTGCAGGCGCGGTGTTTGGCTCTGATGGTATCGACAGTCTGGGCTCGAGCTGGGTCGGGGATTGACACGTCCTGATCTAGCCGGGGCTGGGGTATTATATCCTGGGAAACAGGAGAGAAGGGAAACCATCATGCTCGCAGGGGAGAAGAACAGTCACGGAAGACAAGGAGGTTGGGACTGGGACCTGAAAACAGCAAAGGAGAAGCATACGAGGAGCAAAGGGCCTTCTTAAAGCTCCGGCTCTAGACTGGCGACCTCTGCTCTGCAGGGAGTGAGCCTTCAGCCTGGACTAACGTTAAAGCAATGTCCACACCGATCTTTTCTGAACTGGGCCAACACTCGATCCCACAGAGAACAGTCTAGAACAGTGTTTGGTGAGTCTGGCACACACAGCGCTGGAGAACGCAAACTAGCTTTTCTTACAACTGCCCCCAGCACCCGCGGCCGGAGCCCCGCGCTCTCATCATAACTGTCTTTCTCTAACTGACGGGGTACTGCCTTCACAAACATCACCCACTTACCTACTTCACCGCAAGGACAAGGGGATACAATAATTAAAAACATTTAAGGGAACTTACAGAGCACAAGAAGCTAAGCCATGAGAGGGAACAAAACTAAACATGATTCAACCAAACAAGCTGTCAAAAACTTCCCAGACGAAAAGAAGCTAAATGACTTGTATAAATAGACGCTAAATATGAATGCGTACTTGTCAAATTCTTTTCTCTTATTTGATTTATTAAAATACCGCTCGAGACTGTTCAGAAGACTTCAAACACTACTTTACAATTTACTTTTCTTAAGTTAGAGAGGAAATATTATCAACACAGATTATGAACTAAGATATGTCATTAATATTGATGGAAGGAAAACATGTGGCTCCAACAGGCATTCTAACTCCCAGAAAATGTAAAGTTTTGAGTTGCTTTTCTTTTCAAGGAACAAACCGGTAACTTAGATTTATTCTCTTCAAGTGGGGTGGGGTCCTGCCTCTGTTCAGTCTTCAAATGGTCGCAGGTTCCACGGCAGGGTTGGCCTGGGTCCTGCAGGGTTGATCTGGCACGTTACCAACTTAGTCTGAAGGAGGAAGCTGTCCTGTCGCACCCCCTTCAGAAAATCCTCTTTCAGCGCCAGAAATGACTTCTGCAAACCAAGACCAGAGCTTCCCTTGAAGTCAATGGTCTCTCTCCAGATGTGAAAAAAAAATACATTTGCAGTTGTTTATGACATTGTATAGGTCAGTCATTTTAAGTGCTGAGGCAAACAGATTTCATACATTTGAATTTCAAGACTGCCTGAGGCCCTCACAAAAGATAGGCTAACATTGGTGAGGACCAACAACCCGAGTCTGCATTTACCATTCTTGAAGCCCCAGGGTCCAGGGCCCCCCTACGGTTAGTGCCTGCAAGTACTAGTCACACGCTTAAAGCACAGGCCACTCCAGAAGGCAGGCTGAGGCTTGCAAGAAGTGGCGAACCAGCTCCTCCAGCGTTTCTGGGTGACTGGGGATCACGGCGACGCTGGACTCCGGAGGGGAGGCGGGAGGGCCGGGGGGGCTCATTTAACTTGAGTGCGAGCACGTGGCTGATAACGGAGTGTTTCCTTGGAAAATTATCCTCCATTTTCACGCGTACAAATACTTTTAACGTTTGCTGCTGAACCTTTCCATTAGGTTAACAATTAAAACGAGCCAGACTATCCTGTGGTGACATACTGGCCTCTGATCATTGATCAGCGTTAACTGAGATGGATCTGAGCTTCTGCTTCAAACCAAACACGGATTTTCCTCCTCGCACTTCAAATGCCATACTGTCTCCCAGCTTAATGGATTCTGACAAATCAGCTCAATACACGATCCAGGAAAGTCGATTAGCACATTGACAGACGCTTTGCACTGAGGCACGTGACCAGAACCTTCCATTCCCAAGGTTTTCACTGAAATGTATTTTAATGGCAGACATGACAAAACAGAAATATTTTGGACCTCCATTTCTCCAAGTTAACACATTCACATATATTAACAAATAATGAATCATTCTTCTTCTTTCGGGAATTAATTCTATTCCAGAGTCTTCGGCTCAGCTGTTACACACAGCACTTACTCCAGGAGCCAAGCCCCGCAGGAGCTGGGAGGCCGTTCCCCGCAGAGACCACCCGGCAGTCAAAAGAGACAAGTAAGAAAGGGGCCCCCCGGGCCCTGGGCCTTCCAGGGCCAAGACGGCGCGCTAATCAGGACGGCGGAGTGGAAGCCGGACCCGGGCGACGCGAGGGCTGAGGCATCAGCCTCCCAGCCTCACCTCCTCTTCTGTCCTCATTGCTTAAGCCTTTTCAAGTTTTTTGTTTCTTTTTCCTTCTTTTGCAAGTAGGAGCATCCTGACTGATCCCAGAGGGACCTCAGAGTCACACTCAAGAGCCTCAACGTCCCTCCCACAAACCAGAAGCCCAATGACACAGGCCCTTCCGGAGCTTTTGCTCAAGAGAGCCAGCTTGGGGGCCTCTCTTCTCTCTCTCTCTCTCTCTCTCTCTCTCTCTTTTTTCACTTCTGTAGACGACAAAGGAAACTGAATACCATCACATCTCCCGTCACAGTAAACGAGGCCCCACTTTCTGTCCTCCAGAGTAACAACATACATTTTCTGGCCTATTTTTTGAAACAAATCAGCAAAACAGGCTATCATCTCATTCCTTACTAACCAAAGGCGACCTTAACTAACTCTTAAACATTTTATATTCAGGCTTTTGAAATTCATCTTTTGTTTTGCTTTACTGGAGCAGACCAAGGGGGTAAAAGGAGGTGCTCATTTAATCATGAAAATCAAAACATAAACTATGTGAATGAAGAAACAATTGGTATTCTGGCTCCAGGGACCACAAGCTTGAAGTGAGTCTCCCCTGTGGCACGTGGAAATGAGAGGGTGCCAACACTCCCACGCCTTTACGATCCTGGATCTCTCTCTGATTTTAATTTGCTAGTCTTACCCCTACCTGGGAAGGACCCCAGCTCAAAACGGTCCACGTGCAGGTTCAGGAGAAATCAGGAAGGTGTCGGAGCTTCCAGACACAAGGGCGTTAACAAGCTTCTGGAGAAACTCAAAGTAAGAAGTAAGTGTCTGGCTTTCCCCTCACCCCACAGGCAGAGCCCCAGCCTCACGGGGGCTGGCTCTGGCCTGCAGGATAAAAGGTGGTGAGCTGTCAGCTTCTCCAATGCTCTCCTCCAAGAAAAGGCCGCCAGGGCCACTCCTGGAGCAGGCCCGTGCCCAGAGAGCGCCCACGGGATGAGGGCTGGCTGTGGTGCTCAGTCCCCTCTGTCACCTTTACATTCTGGGAGCTATGCCATTCACCTTCCCCCGTTACTGGAAGATGTCCACGTCGGTTAGCGGGGAAAGAGCTCTGAGACGGTTAGCCCCCCAAAGAACAGGCCTTGTGGTCTTCAGAGAGGAGGAAGGGGCTTTTTGGTCTCCCCGCCTTTGTTTTGGTGGAGGAGACTCAGGGTTATCAATCACTGGATTGATTGGTTGTCCAGTTATCCAAAACATGACCTTAAGAAGAAAATTAAATTTGCCATTTATCATTTCTGCCAGGATATATTAATACAAGAAAATGCAGCTCTGTGATTTCTGTCACACCCTCCGTGGCTGAGGGAGGGGGCAAACACTCACCATGCTTCGTAATCTCCTGGCCCAGGGGAGCTGGGCCTGGGATGACGGGGCCGGCGGGGCCGCCTGACCGTTAGAGGAGGGGCAGGAGTCTGGAGCTCACAGTCAGTGTAGACCTGCTGCCTGCTGGCGCTGGGGCTGACTCACAGGGTCAAGCTGTGCGGCTCTCAGGGCAGCGGCTAAAACCTGAACTTGAGCTGCGGGAAGAGAGGCTTCAAGAATTTTAATAACTGTCTTTGGACCGTGGGGACCGACGTCATAACAAGACAGCCTGGACGTGGATGCACCACACGAGCATCCACTGGCCCCTCCGAAGCGCGCCCCCACAAGGTGGGGGATGTCTACAGCCATTAACCTTCACTGTTCCAACTAAACACCAGGCGTGCACAGGGCATCAAATCTGAACTTGAAAAGCCTCAATTAGGAAAAGCGGGGTTCAATGCCAGCATCTTCCACGGAAAGACAACACGATGTGCCTGAACGCTGCTGCTTGGGAGGCCCAGCAACGTGGGGAGGGGCCTGATCCCCCAGTTATAAAGCACAGTGGCTGCCTTCTCTGTCACACACGTACGTGTGCACGTGGGAGCCGGAATCAATCCATCTACGTCCACATAGATGAGGGAAGATCTCGCTCACTGAGCCCCAAGGGCTCCTTGTTCTTTCTGTCCACAGCACAGCTATTTTAGACCATCCTGACGGTAAAGATGACATATTTTCCATGCCTTTCTGTAAAAACAAACCGATGTTTCCATGTCCCCAACCTCCAAACACAGGCACACACAATACCTCCTGCGTCCTGTTTTCTACTGGTTAAATTCAACAAGATTCATTAAAATGTTTAGAGCTCGTAATGGCCCCATCCTGTGCCCAGGGCAAGGTGCCACTTGCTTCGGGCAGCACCTGACACCTTTCCAGGGGTCTGAGTGCCATTTCCAGTCACGGCCAGTTCACAAATACCCAACGTGCAGTTTACTGCTGACTCTTTTGGGGTCACAGATCCCTATGAACTCTGATGAAAGTTGCGGGCCCTTTCTGACAAATTAAGTATGCATGTGCACACAAGATTTTACAAAAAGCGGTTTCAGGAAACTGAAAGAACCCCTGAAACCATCCCTCGACTTCTCCAGGTGATGGAGTGCGAAAGCCCATGTCAACTGCCAACTGCTCTGCGAGGGCTTCTCCCAGGCGCTTCCCCTGCCCCCGGGCGTGAGCGGCTTCCTGCCCTGAGCCCCAGCCCTGCCACTCCCGGTGCCAGGTGGCTGTCCCCCAGTCCCCTCAACCAGAGCACAAGGGCTTCACGTGTGGGTCATCGCTGGCCCAGCACCCAGCCCGGGTCCAAGCGCTGGAATTAATGCTGCTTGAGAAACGTGTTTTCCAAAAACAGACCTTTGTCTATAACTATTAGAAGCAACATGTTACATGCGCCCGTTCCTTCAGCAAACACTGACTTAATTTCCTTTATAAATGTAAAGACAAAGAACAATCACAGGGCTAACTGGATTTTCACGTTTCCTTTCCAGAAAGCTTCACAAATCTTTGCCCGGCAACAGCAGCAAGTGTGGTTTTTTTTCCAATTTCCCCAACTCAGGGAAGAATACAAATAGAGCCCTGGTTGGAGAAAGAAGAGGCGTGATGATGGATACGGACTGCCAGTCCTGGCTCAGTGGGAACACCAGTCGCAAAAGGAAAAACACCTCAGAGAAGAAGATGTGCTTTTCCTGCCTGTACGGAGGCAAAACCCTTACAGCTGAGGTGAGGGCTGAGACAAGAGCCTCCAAAACCAGCGCTGTCCTCAGCTGTGACCAGAAAGGGGCACTAAAACATGAGAAGTAGGGGGAGGGCACAGCTCAGTGGTGGAGTGCGTGCTTAGCATGCACGAGGTCCTGGGTTCAATCCCCAGCACCTCCATTAAATGAATAAGTGAATAAATAAATAAATACAAACCTAATTGCCTCCCCCCACCAAAAAAAAATGGGAAATGATATAACAGTGTCCACGGAGCTAATAAAATTTCCACTGCTGCAGACACGCCCAAGAACTACCTGCTTTTATCTGGGGACCGACTGCAGACCTGCACGGCTGAAATCCTGGCAGGCACCTGCAGGGTGGGATCGCTGCTGTTCTGGCCATGGGGAGACTGGGCCAGGCTCTCCCCTCAGCATCAGGAAAGGGACGTACACACACGTAGGCAGCAGCACACAGGCCCGTGCGAGGTACAATCCAGAAGGACCCCTCTTCCCTTCCGTCACCGTGGACGGCACTTACCTTGGACATCTGGGTCATGCATCATGTGCTCCTGCGAACTACCGAGGACTCTCTGAATCCCGCCGCTGGCCACACCGCTCCCCGGCACCGTCTCAGTGTGCGGCAGCCTTCCTCCCGCGGCCCCACCTCGCTCAGGAGCAGCTCCAAGTCCTTGCTTGTGTCCGGGACGGCTGTGGGTGGGGAGGGCGCTGATACTGGGGAGCTGCGCGAGGGCCCTGGCCTCTGGGGAAAGCCTGGTCATCTCGGCTCCAGCCACGACAGAGGCTTCCACTGGGCTTTCCATTAGGCCCCTGGAGAAGCGCCGGTGTGCAGGAACGTGCTGGTGTCCGTGGAATGTGCCTTTCCTGGGTAAATCTGGCTCTGGCTCTACTGTACAACTAGCTTAAACTGAGGGAAGCAAATTTTTAACATCAGGCGACAGACGGGCAGTAAAATAGGAAAACGTGAACCCACAGCTCCGTAAGCCCAGTCCTCCTCTCTCCCCGGCCACCCAACTGCCTGTGTCTGCCGGGCCAGGAGACAGTATATCGTGGGAGGATAAGAGGTGCAGTCAGTCCCCTCTGCCCCATGGGGAGCACCCTGTGCACTGAGATGCCAGGTGAAGGTTCAGCCCATTATATTCAAGTGGTGCGATAGCCCCGGCTGCTGCTCACACACCGTCCGGGGCAAGATGCCAGGCACTTACTGCGCATCAGTGCCTCCACTAGGGGGCGGGCATTAGAAAACAGAAGATGCTGCAGCTGGTGAGTGCCGGCTCCCCGTGAATCATCTGCAAGGTCCACATGAGGAAGACGTTGCACACAGGCCTGACGTTCAGCAAGAACTCAATGAATTTTGACAGAGGAAGATGGAGGGAAGGATGCCCCAATCTTTAAAAGGACTCGTACACTCTGCAAAGTAAACTACCTCCTCTCACACTCCTGAATAACAGCGACAATGGAGAGAGGCTGGTGAGCGACCCCCAATGGTCTGGTTAGGGTGCACCCATCATCTTCGGGGAAGGATATGAAAAACTCCCAGCTCAGTCACCAGCACTTACCAGAAAAACCACCCAGGGTCTACTAACAGTGGGCCAGGGATGTCCCACTTGACATGTATGTAAAATCTGATGGCCCAAAAGTCTACTGGGGAGACTTCACATTCTCCCTATGTAAATTATCAAAGGACTTCATTAATCAAAAAGTAAGAAAATTTTCTTTATAGGTTATTTAATCACTACTCTCAATGAATATTTTATCTAAATTTAGGAGACACGGTAGCTTCATTATTTATAACCCAGTAGTCATGTTTCAAAATCATTATTGCAATTACTTTTTGCTTCTTTACATAATTAAAGCTCTAATATTCCATCTTGCCCAGAAGGTCACTGTTACTAAAACTCCAGACAAGATAATTGCTAGAATTTTCGGTGGACGCTTGAGGTGAAGCGGGGATCCTGTTAATTATCCTGGCCGGAACCTACCAGGCTGAGGACACATTTCCACAGCTGCCTGCACTGGGTGACCCGGAGGTGAAATCAGGGTCCAAATCTGGAGCCGGTGGTCGGTGCCCAGAACGCCATCGTCTTGTACATACAGGCCAGCCCTGGAGGGGTCTGCAAAGGTGGAAATGAAGGGGCCGAGGGACTGGAAGGCAGCCTGGTGCACCTGAAACCAGAGGGAACATCGCGGTGAATGAGGTATCGGCCAGATCTAATCCAGGGCTAAACAGATGGCTGGTGACCAGACAATTCACTGTCCACCAAATTATGTCTAAGCAGACGTATAACTTTCTAAAGCAGTCCCTAAATTCCAAATAAACAATTTTTCAATAGAAAAATCAGGAAAAATTTAGTACCGTCATATATGTCATACAGTTTGTATTCGTCCAGAATATTAATTCTATGTCAAACAATTCCAGGCTTTGTAAAGCATCTGAGCAGACCTTATTAATCACTACAGGCATGTTTATGACAGGAACAGAAAAGATAACAATTCAGTTACAGTTTCTTCTTCCCAATTATCATTTCTGTTGATATTCATCTGCCACCAATGCTGAGGTGGGTGCCACCTCCTTAGGAAGCAACAGGCTTCTATTATAGGTGCCCTAACCACCCTCATGAAGTCTAAATACACCGGGCAGTTACTGAAAAGACAAAATACACTGAAAGTCACCAGTCCAGGGACTGAGCTGAGGCCCGCGGGCTGCTGCACTCACCCACCAACAGGGGACGCTGATCAGCCTGATGAAGAGTGGGGGCAGCCTGGCCCTGCGGACCTCCAGGGGCGCGCCCCCCCAAGGCCTTCCTCACCCGCCCCCACGTTATCCGCTCAGAGCTCAAAAAACTTCAGGAGCTACCAGAGCAAACAACATCGTGTTACTCACACGTGGTCGCCCCGCAGACCTGTTCCCATGGTGGAGTTAAGGCATTTCCATAAATTAATGACACAGAAGAGAGAAATCTATATGAGTCCAAAAGGAATCATCTGAAACAGGCAGAATTTAGAGGTAATCTTCTTCACCTCTTAATTCTGGGAAGTGACCTGGTTAAATTTAACAAGATTATAGAGAAACCCCCAAAGAATGCTGAATGACTGATACTCGTTATGTGAACTATTGTGAGAGACTCTGGATTTCCCAGCTAGCACACCGACCCAGGTATCAGGCCTTTGACTAGGGTATTTTGGCAAAGGAAAGCAGACTATTAAAAATTGATAGTAACACAAGTAATTCCTGTCCACAGAATGCAAACTGTGCGGTGGAACGCGATTGATCCTCACCCTGGATGTCGACAGTTTGGAATCCACTTACAAGTTCACGTCAGTTCTCCCCGGTGTGACCGTGAACGTGTGGTGCTTAGTTAAGCCAGTTGCTGCGTCTTACTGGTTCCTTCATTAATCAATGTGTTAAATAAAATCTTTGACCTGTGTTCATTTTACATCTGTATGAAGGTCGTAATTACGTCCTCTTTTCAAATTTATCCTTTAAAAATAAAGCTTTGTTTTTAATGTCCTAACAGAAAAGAATCAGCCAAAATGCTTCACAGATAGAAATATCTGATCGTGGAAATATCCACCTACGGAGAGATTAGCATGTTGCTCACTGCTGTTCTTCATTCAGACACGTTAAGTAGAGGGTAACACCATGTGTTCAAAGCAACAGCCCACTACAAATTATTTTGGGGTTAGAACTCTGTTGAATGGCTTAGATTTTAAATAGAATTGAAATGAGCTTCTGAACTGAAATTTAAAAGCCAACTTAAAGAATCTACTTTTTGAGGTTAAATTCCAACCACACAGGTAGCACATCCTGTCACGTAAAAGAGGCAAGTGCTTCCTCAGCACAGCTGTCTGGGTGTCAGGGACTGGGTGGGCTGCGGAGAAACAGAGGTGGACACGATCTATGTGAAGACACGCCCCCCCCACCCCCCCGCGCCCCATCAGCTGCACCGGGACGAGCGAGGTGTGCTCAGGGACATACAAGCTCTCGGACCAGAATGCTACGGAATGCTGAAAAGAGAGAGACGAATCCTCACTGACACAGTGGGGAGGTGAGTCTAGGCAAGCAGAGAGCTTGACAGAGACGAATGCATAGGCAAGAGCCGGGTCTGAAGTGTGAGCAGGGGCCCCCGGGGAAGGGGAGATGCCAGAAGGAATGAGCAGGGGTGCGGAGGTGCCCAAGAGCTGAAAGCCCCCAGCTGGCTAGTGCTGTGGTTCTCCACCTCGCTGTGCACAGAATCACCAGGGACTTTACCAAAAATACAGACCCCGGGCCCTGCCCCTCTCGCCTCCCTATGAAGCAGATGCACGACCAAAGGTCAGGGCAGCACTGGGACCTGAGGGAGGTGACCAGAGGTGTGGTAGGAAAGGTGCTTGTAAAGGGGCCTGAGAGGCCAACAAGGGTCTGGATTTTAATCTGTCACCAAGAAAAAAAATCCCACTGGCTTTGAAGCCCAGGATCGAGGCGGCAGAGCTGTGTTCGAGAAAAAGCAGCTGAGAAAGGACAGAGTGACTTGGAGAGTGAGAAAAGACTGGGGAAAATGATCGGTGAGGAAACAACAGAAAAATCCACAGGATGTCGGGGGAGGGTCTAGCTCAGTGGTAGAGCACATGCCTCGCGTGCACGAGGTCCTGGGTTCCATCCCCAGCACCTCCATTAAAAACAAGTAATTAATAAACACCTAATTACCCCCGCCCCCCCAAAATTAATCAGTCCACAGGAAGAAGGGCTGGGGCTGCTTCTGCTCTGCCCCACAGACCAGCAGCCAAATGCTGATGAGAAACATTTGCAGCAGAAGTCAAGAAATCTGAAACTGATGCATGCAAAATCGAGCTGCCACTTCAACATAACAGGCTCCTAAATACGAAACTTCACAACTAATTTCCAAAGTGCCCTAAGAAGTGCATCAGCAAGACAGCTGGAAAAATTTCACATACCAAAAATTTCTCAGCGGCTTCTTGTCCGACCGTGCGACAAATTTCGTCAAAATTGGTGGCACATACCTTAAAAAGGCAAAAGGCACACGCATTCTTCTCAGCTTTCTTTTTGTGTTAACAATTGTGAAAACTAACAAGTGGGAACCTGGAGAGCAATTACTCCTCTAGTCGGGCAGCTAACAAGCACCAACCGAGCCCAGTGCCCACGCAGCACTGCCCAGGTGCGTCCGCTGCGTTGGAAATGGGAGATTTACAGGGGAGGACCACACTCTCAGACTTTCTGGCTCCTAATTATCTCAATACATAATGCATTTGGTTGGCCACAGAGCAAAAGAGACTCTCAATATTCTCTGCCTGGTGAATGAGACCCACCTCCTTGTCTCTGCATCACCAGGAGAGACCAGAGGGGAGACGGGCAGTTGCGCAGCAAGGTGGAAGGTGTTTGGGGAGGGGTGGAAACAGCCTTCGGAAGAAAAAATCTGACAACCGGGGGACAAGTGACTGAAAGGGGAGGGCGGGGCAGGGGCTACAGTTGGAAGGTGAGATAAGCAAGACAAGACAGCAAAGGTAAGAGGGACCAAGAGCCCATCAGCTGGGTGATGAAAGGCCTTGAACATCTGGGCAACAGCATCGATGCACAAGGTCCCACACCTCCTCCTCCTGCCCCTGAGAGCTCTGTCCTCATCAGCCTCTCTCCACATCGCCACAAGTGCCCAAACTGCAGGGGCAACTGGCAGCCTGTTCACTGTTTCCCTCGCACGGTTCACGCCGGCCACATTTTCCTCCCAGACTGCATCTCCTAAGGAAGTCTGGAAACTTTAAAGGAATCGATTCTGAACTTTTTCCAACTTTTTGAATGTTATGAGTTTTGAAACTGTCCATTCCCACCTTCTGAGCCTGAAAGAGCTCCCCATCACCGCATGATTTACAGAAGCGAGGGAGCAGCAGGCGTTCACTGGTGCTTTAGCTCAGCACTGAAACCAGCCTGTAGATCATCTATAAATGGCCAGAAAATTAGGGTCACTTGAAATACCAAAGCGTAGATGTTGCACATATCACTAACTAGATTCCAAAATCTAATATTCAACATATTGCCAAGATACCCAAGAGGTCAAAACAGAGAATACATTTTTTTTGAGTTCTATCAAGTTATATCAATAGAAGGGGAATACACTTCAAGTTGTATTCAGATACGGTTTGTCTAAAGCTCAAGGGTACCATTTGCCCAGCGTGCCCAGCATGCAAATGAACAAGCTGTGTGCATTCTTCCCTTCTCCAAACCCTATGATATGAGGATTCATCATCTTCATTTTTCCGGGTGAGGAAACTAAGGCTCAATGTTGCTAAAACCAAACAGCAGTTGAGGTGGGACACACAGCAGGAGCTGGACAAGTCACCAAAGTCAGCCTGCAGGTGGTCCCTGGAGAGGGACTAAACACTGGTGGAAGTCAAGAGGGACAGATCCCCGAGAGGGTGCACCACATTGGGTACCACAAGCTTGCTGCTGCCTTTCTGCCCTGGGCACCCCTCATTTGGCATGGTTAGGCAGGAAAGCTGGATCTCCAGCAGAAGCTACCATTGTACTGGCTTGAGAAGTCAAAGAGCAGAGACTGAGGTGGCCAGGGCAGCTGGAAAGTGAGGGAAGGCAGCCATTATGGAAAACAGTATGGAGATTCCTCAAAAAACTAAAAATAGGCTTATGCTGTGATCCAGCAATCCCATTCCTGGGCATATATCCGGAGGGGACTCCAATTCAAAAAGATACATGCACCACAATGTTCATAGCAGCACTATTTACAATAGCCAAGACATGGAAGCAACCTAAATGTCCATTGACAGATGACTGGATAAAAATAACTGTGGTATATTTATACAATGGAATACTACTCAGTGATAAAAAAGAATAAAATAATGCCATTTGCAGCAACATGGATAGACTTGCAGATCGTCATTCTAAGTGAAGTAAGCCAGAT